ATTAGCTTGGAATGATGGTTACAGGGGATGATAATACTCTGTACTTTTCGATTGTGTGGTTTGACAATTAAACTGAAAAGTAAGTGCCAGCCTTTAGGAAAAAGCATCAAGAACCCCAAAGTATAATGTGCTAATTTGGGGCTATATATTACAAAAATAGCTTTCTTACAAAATTTTTATTCTTAATCTCTCTTTTGCTGTCTCTATTCCCTCACACTTAAAAAAAAAAGATGTCTTGAATCTGCAGTTCAGCCTCTACATGGATTGCGTCTTGGTGCCTCCTCCTAGACATGGCCAGGAGAGGTGGCCTCCTGGCAGATGCTGCCGCAGCCCTGGGCCTCCCATCCTCTGCCTCCCCAGGCCCAGGGCCATCTCTCCTTGGCTCAGGGCAGTGCGTACTGGGCTCGGGGGTCTCTGGAGGTGCAGGACAGGGCTGGATGTGTGGACTCAGCTCCCTGCTCGTCACCCGCATGCCTCTGTGGGGGCAGCACGCTTCCCCGTGGCGTTCCACGGCACCTCTGCACCAGTGAGAACATACACAGCAGAGAGGGGGACTGCAGGAAGACAGAGAGACAGGGAAGGGCGCAGGGAAGAGCAGAGTACAGCCTGGACAAGAAAGAAGGGGAGAGGAGAGGCAGAGGGAAGCAGGGCGTAAGCCCTGAGGAGGCAGGGGGAGGCAGTGGGGGACACAAGGTGGGGGAGGCCTTCCTTGCTCAGTGGGATTCCCAGCAACTGGAAAGCCCGTGCCCCTTCCTCAACTCCTCTCACTCCCAGAGTAGAACTCAGGGCCTTTCTGGCCCTTAAGCTCCTCCCAGAAACATCCAGTTCTGCGCTGTTCTCCTCCCTGCAGTCCGAGGGGTTCAGGTCTTTGCAAACACAAGTCTACATAAAGCCCTTGCACAGTGGGAGGGGCCTTGGGGCCTGGCTTGGTCAGCGGTAGTAATGGTCTCCATCATTTATGCTTTCCTCGACCTATTTGAACCAGGTAGGGGGAGGGGCTATTTCCTGGGAACCAAGGCACTTCCAAAGGCTCCCCTTCGCTAAGGTGGCCGAAAGCCTCAGAGCTGACCCGGTTGCACCCTGCAGCTTGCTGGGCTCTCTGCTCTGGGCGCCCTGACCACTCCCCGCCCCTGCAGGTTGCTCCCTCCTGTAAGATCCTCCTTTACTTCTCCCCTGGCAACCTCCCCCCGAGGAACCTCCCCCGTGCTAGAGCTGCTCTTTCCTGGCGTGATGGTTCCCTGACCTCGCTGCCAGCCCGCTCCACGCGTGGCACGTCGCAGGCACTGGAAAGCACCGACTGAGTGACTGCGTACGTGGAAGGACGACGCTCTCGGTTCTTCACTTTACTTCTGAAGGGCACAGGGGGTGATGACGGAGGCGACAGAGTGGCGGACGCTTGCTTACACGCCCCATTCCCTGCCCCCTCTGGGCATCACCCTGGCGGCCCTCACCTAATCCAACCAGATCCTGTCACTCCTCTGCAGCCCAGGCCCCCAAGTGTAAAACAAGGTCAATTTTGACGTTCAATTTTAGGGCCCAATAGATAATGTACATTTAAAATAACTTTTAGTTTTTAAAATATATTCTTGAGTTATCAATCAGCCCCAAACCTGTGCCCCTCAAGGAGAGTGAACACGCATTTCTATCTTTCCATTCCAGATGAACTGCGATTCCCAGCACATAGCAGATACTTGATGGTTGAATGAATAAATGAGCGTATATTGACATTCGGGGAAAGAAGTTTAATAGAAGCAAACTGAACTTTGACAATATTTTTAGTAAAAAAATTTAGAGTGTGAAAGAGTTATAGATATCTTATTTAAAAAGTAAATTAGATCCCGGCAAGTTTTGTTGTAGACAAAGACAAGTTTATTCTAAAATGTATATGGAAAGGCATGGTCCTTAAAACAGTTAAAACAATTTTGAAAAAGAAGAGTCAAGCGGGAGAAATCAGCCTACTCAATGTCAAGACGTTATCTGGCTGCAGGACTCAAGACGGAGTGGTGTCGCTGCAGGGATAGTCGCAGATCAGAGGAACCGAACAGAGAGCCCAGAAATGGAGCCACGTAAATATGCCCCATTTATTTTATTTTTGACAAAGGTGCAAAAGCAATTCAAAGAGAAAGTCTTCGGGATCTAGGGCCGGGCAGAGTTTCAGATCAGATGTCAAAAGCAAAATCCATAATAGCAAAATTTTGATTAACTGGACTTCATCCAAATTTAAAACTTTTGCTTATGAAAGACCCTGCTAAGAAAACAAAAAGATGCATTACAGACTAAGAGAAAATATTTGCAAACCACATATCTGGCAAAGGACTAGTATCTAGAATATATAAAGAACATTCAAAACTCAATAGTAAATCTAAAACCAAAAAAATGAAAACATCTGTTTAATAATTAGAATTTGGAGAAAATACATGAAAAGACATTTCACCGAAGAGAATATACAGATGGTAAAAAAAAAAAAAAACACATAAAATGATGTTCAACATCTTTAAAAATCAAGGAAATGCAAATTAAAACCACAATGGGATATACATAGCTATCAGAGTGGCTAAAATTAAAAAATAGTGACAACACCACGTGCTGGTGAGAATGCAGAGAAACAGGTCACTTACACATTGTTGGTGGGAACGTAAAATCCTAAATTTATTCTGGAAAACAGTCTGGCAATTTCTTATCAAACTAAAGATGCAATTACCATACAATTCTGCATTCCTGGGCATTAGTCCCAGGGACACAGAAACTTACGTTCACACAAAAACCTATGCACCAATGGTTGTAGCGACTTCACTTAGGATAGACAAAAACTGGAGTCAGCCCAGATGTCCTTCAAAGGGTAAATGGTTAAACAGGCTTGTCCGGAGCCATGAGGCCCTGCAGCTGCTTACCAAGCCCACGCATTTGCAAAAGCCTGCGGAAGAGCTTGTAAGTTTCTATTTACCCATTATAACTATGTAGCCCTTGAAAGCCCCTGAGGGTTTCCTTATATAGAAATCCTCTGGCTGGAAAGCCAGAGCCTCAGAAAGCACCGCCCCTTTACTGTTACCCTTTCTGCCTTACTTAAGCCTCTGCCTTCCTGCCAATAAACTAGACTTGATCAGACTCCTGTCTTGTCTCCATTTCTTGTGTCTCCTGCCTCTCCCAATTCCCACTCCCTCCTCCAGGGTCCGCGTTGACTACCCCGCGGGTCGGGACACAGGCTGTCACATGCACACCAGGGATGACCACTCCACAACAAGAAATGAGCTTCCCATAGACCCAACGACCTGGAGGACTCTGCGGAGAATCACGCCGAAGGGAAACAGCTGGTCTTAGAGGTTACCTGCTGTGTAATTCTAGTATAGAACTTTTCCGAAATTACAGAATTTTAGAAATGGACAACAGGTCGGGGGCTGCCAGGGGCTCGGGAGGGGGCAGGAGAGTCGGGGGTGACAGGAGGGATGTGGGTGCGTTTATTAGAGGACCACAGGAGGGGCCCCTGAGGACCGGAAATGGTCAGTGTCTTGATTGTGGGTGGGTACACAAATGTACTCGTGTGGCAGAGTGGTACAGCACTGAACACACACACGCACACGCACACACAGAGGAGCGCCGGGGAAAATCGGAACTCAGGCTCTCCTTGTGTAACGAGTTCCACGCTTCTCGCAGGCATTGGTTGCATCCGTGGCAGTGTCCTGGTGTGGTCTTGCAGTGTAGCTTTCCAAAACGCTACCCTTGGGGGAATCGGGCAAAGGGTACATGAGATGGCTGATGGCTGCACGTACATTCAAAATGATCGCAATAAAAATTTCAGTTGAAAAAAAGAACAAAAATCGCAAATAACTTAGAATGTTCATCAAAAAAGGAGGTTTTAAGAAGATGGATATTCAGAGAGGCCCAGGGTAGAGTTAGAAGTGGTATAACCTGGTGGTCAGACGTGTCTGCATTTCAGAGCGGGGAGAGCTGCAAGTCAGGAGGAGAGAGCTCGGCCAGGAACCGCCAGGCTGGAGGCCCCTGGGCAGGACCCAGGAAGGGAAGTTGTCCCTGTGCCTCAGGAGGGCTGGGGTGGGGAGGGTCCAGGGTCCAGGGGGCGAGGCCTGGGTTCTGTCAAATTCTATGGACAACAGGAGTTGTGGGCAGGCTTTAAGCAGAGAGTGAAATGATTCAATTTGCTTTTTCAAAGCAGATTTATCGAGATATAATTTACACACCAGAAAATCCATTCAATTTAAGTGTGCACTTCTGTATGTTTCCAGAGCAGTACGACCGTCACCGCAGGCTCATCTGAGAACATTCTGTCTCCCCAGAATGAAACCCTGTGCCCTCCGCAGGCCTCTGTGTCGGCTTCTCCCACGGAGGCGCTGCCCCGAGTAGAGCATTTCCCAGCGCTCGCAGCAGCCTCACCCACGGCAGCCAGGCCTGGAGGCCGCCTGGTGTCCGTCGGCTGCAGGACTAATAAGCGAAATGTGGCCAGTTTACACAATGGAACACACTGCTCCACCAGAAAGGAGGGGTTTTCATTCTCGGAAACGTTTAGATGTTGAGTTGCTTTGTGGGAGACTCACCCTGGGTAGGCAGAGGCTGGGCCTCTCCTCCCAGCTCTGAGTGGGGAGGAGGGAGGAGGGAGGGAGGGAGAAGAAGGAGGAGGGAGGGATACATATTCTTTATATGTATCCATAAAAATTATATATGTACACCGATATTTTTCTAAGCAATATATACATTTAGAAAAATGTTAGCACAGATAAGTAGTTCTAAAACACAAAATGAAAATTATAATTTCCAGGTCCACCATCTGCAGCCTAAGGTCCTTCTTCTTAGAGGCAGCATTTGCAGTTATTTTGACTTCTTTTTAGCACTCACTCATATTTCAAAGTAATGATCTTATAATTTCCTTTGTTGACCTGATTTATTTCTGGCATTAATTGTTGGCTTCCCATTTTGGAAGATGAGGATGGAGGGAACTGACCTGGCCCCTGGGACCCACAGCCCCGCTCACGCGCTGTCCTCTCTCACAGCCCCCGGGGATCCCGGGGCCTGGCCACACTCGTGGGCGCAGTCGTGGGTGAGTCTCTGCACCCTCTGTGTACCAGGAATGGTCCCTGGGCTTCCGTTCTGTCAAATTATGCGGACGACAATGAGAAGAGTCAGGCTGGTTTACCTGCTGGTCTGACGTCCCCGTTTCTGTGCGTTTGCCGTGATGGGAAGTCAAAGCCTGCCGGACTCTGGTGAAGTGTGGCAGGCCACGTGATACCCACGGTGCCTCTCGCAGGCTGTCTCAGCATTTGCCCCTCTCGCTGCGACCATGAACTCTGCCGCACACCCGTGGGTGACCCAGCTCCTCAAACCCTGTCCTACAGCCTCCTGCTGGATGGCAGCAGCTCCTCCGCCTTCTAGGGCTTCTCTAGGAACCTGAAACTGCAAAGACCAAAATATTCTTTGTCACGTCTAGAACTTTCTAAATCTCTTTATGTGACTAATCCTCAAGAGCTGTGAAAACCCCAGAGAACCCGTGTCTGCCTAGCAGAGAAGATAGAAACAATTCCAGGTACAAGTACAAAAATTTGGCAGGATTTTTGTTTTAAACACACAATTATTTTGTACAGAAAGATTTTTAAAGCTACAAACAGAATCCCAAATACTTTTTTATGAGGAATGAAATCTACAGCATGAAAGGGGAAAAATTCACATTTTATGAATTCTGTACATTTTGACTCTTTTGCAGTGAGCATGTATTTGGTAATTTTTAAGCATTTGCATACAAGAATACTGAATTGGGTGAACACTGTAACAGAATGAGAAGGGTATTTGGCAAGGGCTGTCCCGAAAGTAGCCATTGTTAATGTCACGAGAACGGTCGGTGCGACACGGATGGGCCCTGGCAGCCAAGGTGAGTGGACGGGGATGCGCCTGCGTGAGCAATGACCACCTCGCCGTACTAGTCGGAGGGGCGCTAGACGCCGTCGAGTGAGGATGTGCACGCTCTGGCCACCGCGTTCTAAATGACTGAACGAGTAGAGCAA